CAATTCCACATCCTAAACCACACATACATATGCGGAAAATACGTCGTGCACGACACGCTAGCACACTGTCAGTCGCTGAGAAATTATTTATAAAATTACAAACTATAGTCATCGTGCCCAATGTCTTTCACCCACTCAAGTAGCACCTGGGCACGTGAGTGAGATCCTGACAACGAACACGGTAGGGGTTAAAACTGAAAATCCTAAATTAAAGAAATGATTAGTTTACATATAATTTGTATCTAACGGGCTATTGTATTATTTTATTTTAAACTGTGATGACTCTACTCTTTCAGAGATTATTCAAATTGCAAGAGAATAGAAACAATGAACAATTTGTTAAAAAGTCTACAGATATTACACACAGTTGCGAATGAAACAATTATAAGTAAATTAAATATTAATAGAAACAATCTCAGGCGATTTATTCATCAAAGCACATTTTCGAAAGTAATGTTCAAGCTTGTTGCCTTGATTAAAAAATCTGCCTGTCGCGAAATGTCTTCTTGCACATAAAAATTTTATACATTTTTCTACGGAAACACAAAATTCTGTTCCATTATATTTGAAATTCTACTGAAATTCATAATCATAAAACTTAAGCAATTCAATCAAACAATACTATTATAAAAGAGAAGATGAGGTTGAAAATTATCAATTATTATAATAATTAACAATTATTAATTATTATAACAAAATATATTGCCAATATCATAATAAATAATGCATCTTTCATAGCAACGAAGTCGGAGGATATCCGTCTTCTTTATTATGAAATGCTCAAACGAAATTGTTTTAATAATAATTATTCGTAAATATTTATAATTTATCTATTCGTATGGATATTTATATGGATGTTTTACTTTTGCAAACATTTATATTAAAAAATATTTTTGATTTTATAAGTAATTATTATAACTGTATATATTCAAACTAATTGTTAAAATCGCGATGTGCAAGAAGCCCTATCCTAATCTAATACATAAAAAGAAAGAATGTTACTACTCACGGATATGAAAAATATCCGCGGTCACTATGCTCATCAAAAAGTCTACGA